ATATATGTTTTTTTTCCTTAGTGTTTAAAGATGTTTCTTGTAGTTTATTGTACAAGGATGTATTGTATGTATCATGACCGTCACCTCTCAATAGGTTGGCTGAAAGAAATAAGTTTTACATTATCTCATTGTTATTTTAAAAAAATTATTAGCAATGTTCCTGTCTTCACACAAAGTTGGTAGACGTTTCGTGAATTAGTCATTTCGTCGAGGTGTGTGTAAATTCGTTCTTACATTTTTGATTGTTGAACAAAAAAAAAAAAGAATTATGTTATTTATCATTTTATTTGTGTACCTTACAAAAATAAAAGATTAATATTTTAACTAAAATGATTAATTAACATAGCTTTATTGCTGCAATATTGATTACAAACTTCAATATTACAAATGAGATTCATCTTATATGAATGATAGCACTTGACTAGATTCAGCTGAATCAATGATTCAAGCTACAATATTTTAATAAATATTTATCAAAAAATTATTAAAAAAAAAATCAAGTGACTTAGAAAATAATAAAATATAAAAAGTAGCGTTAAAAGTGTCTGATCCATGCCCCTAGCCCGATGCTTGCGTTCTCTCTAGTGGTGTGTCTGGTGAACATCGAATATTTTTTTCATTAGTATGATTAACTTTGTAGATGAAAATTTCTAAATACCCAATTAAGTATTGTTGGATATCTTATTTATTAAAATTAAATGGTTTTTTTTTTATTTTTTTGAGCCATAATATTAGTCTAAAGTTGTAATGAGATTAGCACCATTACATTATAGATAAATGTTATGTCAGAAAAAAAACTAAAACTTTTATCAAAAAAAAAAGGAGAGAGAGAAAATGATGTAATACCTTAATAGTTAAACCATCTCCAATGTAGATCGAAATCCTTACCCAAATTTGAGTAAAAAAATAGGTACAAAGTTTGATTTAATACAAAACACTTGAATGGAGAAACTCAAAGTTAAAGGCGGATAAACTCAAATTTAAAGAAAGATAAAATATGACTATTGAATCTTTAAATGATAATAAAATATAACCATTGGTGATTTGAATAAAAGTTGGAGTCTTCCTTAATTTGGTATGAGTTTGGGTATAACATTGGAGAAGGTTTTCAAGATTATTTTTATCCAAATTTAAATTTGAGTATACTTTGACTCCATGACCACGGCCTTTAACACCCTAATTTCACATTTAGAGGTATTATCTAACTATGGATCATCTAACCATAAGAGTATACTAACGTACTATTAAATAAATAAAAAGCATTCAACACCCAATAACTAGCTAGATAAATCCCAAATTAAAAAAAAAAACACAAACAAATCCTTTGGTTTACATCCAAAAATCAAAATAATAATTCTTTCAACTAAGTAATGAACAAATATTTCAAAATCAGTATCCTCCCTTTCTGTTGTTTGTCATTCACATCATTAATTTCACTAGTTTACCTGCAAAAAAAGAGAGAAGACAGATGAACATAGAATTATGTGTGTGTGTGTGTGTGTGTGAGAGAGAGAGAGAGAGAGAGAGAGAGAGAGAGAGAGAGAGAGAGAAGGGGAGGAGGACCGAATTTTGGTGATTAGGTGTAGATTTAGGGTACGTGGTGGAGAGTTCAAAAATTAAAATTTCCAAATAGCATAAAAAATTTTGGAGGTCAATATGGTATGTCAGATTGAAAATTGTGAGATGATTTGAGACTTAAATAACTTGAAATGGATTAGAATAACGTCCGTCGGATGATGCCTTATTTAATCATGAAACGATCTCAACCGGTTTTTAATTTTAGATTTAAATTTAGTTCTATTTTATTATATAGATGTAAAATGTGGCTCAATCAAGACTCTGGCTGCATAAGAAGTAATTAAAATTTTAATCTGTTATATTTATTAAATTAATTATGAGTTTTAATATTAAGTTTAAGCCAACTTTTAATTTTAATAATTATAATTATTAAAATTATATCTCAAAAACATTTTCCTTGTTGCAAACAAGTTTCCAGTACATGGGTTCACCAGTAGAGCTATATAGGGCCCCAAAGCCCACTCACAATTTCTTTGAAAAATTATATGTATGGGTGTACACATGTATTTTACACCTTGTGTTTGGTTTAAATATTAGGAATGACGGGATTTTATAATATTGTACATTCCTTATCTATTCATCCGACCCTTGGACTAATTATAGTGATAATTTTTCCTCATCTCATGTTTGGTTTAAGTATTAAGAAATAGTGGACCTCATATTTATTCTATTCAATATTTTGTTTGAATGGAGTAGTGAATGATGGTATAAATATTAAAATACTAAAAAACTCTCAAGATAAAGATTAATATTTATATTCTAGAAATACTTGAAGGTAACAATGTCTTCTAACACTACAAGAAAAATGGGTTTTTACGGTGGTAAAGTGCTGTCATAAAAAGTCTATTTGTCGTCACAAATACTTTTTGTGGTGACATTGTAGCGGCATTGCCTCGTCATAATAAGTGTGGTCTCAAAAAATATTTGAGGCAGTAACGGTCTGTCTCAAATAGTATTTACGGCGGTAAAATCCTATCGTAAATAAGTTGTCATAAAAAAATCCGACACTTTTGTTTTTATCACGACGACAAAAGTGTTGTATCAAATACCATATTTGACTATTGTAAAAAATAGAAGATATATTTATGACGGCAACGATGCTGCCACAAAAAAAAAACAAACAATTTTTTTTTTAATTATTATGGATCGTTCGTAACCAATATTATATAATTTGTGCATATATATACTCTACAAATTTTTCTTTTTTTTTTTGGTGGAAAAGGGGGGAAGGGGATTTGAACCCTTGACCTCAAGAAGACAAAGTTTTCACAAAGACCAAATACTCATTCGTATCTATACAACTATCCAATTTAATATATAGATAAACACAAAAGTAAATATAATCAACATTTCCAAAAGTATAGCAATATTTTCATATTCAAAATAAACAATCTCAAGAGTTAAACAAAATGTAAAATATGCATTTTTATAAAACATAACGATCTATGAGTACAAGAAATTAATGCAAAAAGTTGAACATCATTTCCGAACCATTTACTCTCTCAGTGACATCTGAAAAAAAATATAAAATTATTGTTACAATATTGAAATAATATTTATATACATATATATAATAAAAAACTAAAAGAAGTTAGAATATACATCAACAGAGAGCCACACAATATTTCTTTGAAAGGTTTGTCTAATTATGTAAATGATATATAAACGAGTTATATCGTATACACTTCTTCTAACTGGTTTCATCAATACCTGGTTCATTTATAATCGTATCATGACGAGTCCACTCGTTTACTAAACAGGTGGCTTAAGGAAGACTCAAAACCCACTAATTTTATGTCATGTTAACGGGTCGTGTCATATTTTGACACTCTTTGTTTTAATATAAAAACTTGATTTTATAGAGTTTAATTTTTTTTCTTTGAACTAGAAATTTCTTTTTAATGTTAAACTACGTAATTTTATAAAATATTACCTGTAACATAAAATATAATTGTGGCCAATACAAATTTTTTTTAGAGTTTTTCTTCTTTGAACTATAAAATATTTTTTTAATCTAAAACAACATTTTAATGTTTTATGAAATATTATATACGATGGGAAAAGTAGCTGCCATAAATATAAAAAATTCTTATGAATTTATAAAATATTATTTGAGACAAGAAAAACAGTTGTCTCAAATACAAAAAATTTCTTTTGCGTTTATGACACTATTTACGGTAGAAAAAATAGCTGCCACAAATATTAACACAAACACGCTTTTTGTGACGGCAAACACAACCGTCACAAAAAATTGTCTCAAATACGTTTTTTGTGACGACAAACACAGTCGCCGTAAAAAATTTGTCACAAAAAACCTTTATTCTTGCAGTGTGACCAAATACATCCCAATTAGACTATTTAAACCCACCAAAAAGTTGGGAATATTTAAGAGGTTATATTTAGTATTAAATACACTATTCATCCGAGCCGATATTATTTTTAGGTGATAATTCCAAGCCCAAAATATGTATCCAAACATGGGTATAACATGGATAAGGTGGGCTCACTGTTTAGTCTCTTTTATTATGTGATAATTTTTTTAAATTGATTTTAATTCAAACGTAAAAGTACTTACAATTGGCTTACAAATGAATTTTATCTTCTGTGAGATGTCGTCTCGATTTTTCGAGTATTGCTTGTTGGCTTTAAAGTTAGTACTTTGCTTAGGCCTAACATTTTTGTTTGTTGGTTTTTCTATTTTAATATCTTAGTGAAAATATTTGAGAATAGATTAAAAAATTGAAGATTGTGAAAATTCGATTATATAACTTGTTGGGTGTTCAATGAATGATTGATAGCTTTTTAATTATCAAATGAAAACAAGCCCTATTTATTGGTTTGCTTATATATACTATATTTATTTCTTTGCTTATATATATACTATATTTATTGGTTTTCAAACTTTTTAAATAGATTTTTATATATGTATTATTTTACTTATTGTCAATTAGGAGAAAAAAGAATTAGATTATGGTTCTACCCTACTTCGGTTACTAAAGCTTGGTGATGGCTTTGAGTCATGGAGGTCACACATTTAGGCAATTCTAAACAAAATTGTGAAACCTGATAGGGTAAAAGACTGAAAAACACGTTTAAGAATGTGTTGTTGTGAGTAATGAATTGAGGGCAGGATAATGAAAACACGAAGATAATAGTGACTCATCTTATTGAAGAGGATGAGAAATTCACTATTAAAGAGTGACACTTACTCTTAGGGGTGCGTGTTTTTACTCAATCAAGAAAATATTGGGGGAATCTTAGCAATCAGGCCAAAGGCATGGTAGAGCTTCTAGATGACTTAGCTTCATGCCTACGGTAGGCTTTCTCGAGAGGTTCCTCCTTTGTTCATTTAGGTAAAATCAATTCACATGGTGGAAAAAGTTGGGAGAATCTTGGCATTTTGAGAAACTAAAGCCAAAGGCATGGTGGAGCTTCTAGATGACTTAGCTTCGTGCCCACGGTAAGTTTTCTAGGGAGGTTCCTCCTTTGTTCATTTAGGTAATTTTCGTGCTAAACAACATTCCTGAACTTGCCAAAAAAAAAAGAAAGAAAGATATATATCTATAGGAAATCAGTGAATAAAAAAACATTGATGGGGAAACAAGTTTGTATCCAAAGTCTTTTTTGCTACACGGCAACAGAGGCAAAGGAATATAGGAGTAATTGTTAGGTTGAAAATAGAATTTCATTTAATCCTGAAACTCACAATAAATTATACTTTATTACCTAACACCAACAAGATTAGCAACCACCATTATCCTCTCACTTTCATTAGGTAGTACTTCTATAATTTAACCAATTTTATACAATATTGCGACATATAGATATTAGACCACAATAAGCAGAGTTGAAGTTTTGAGGTGAGTTTAATAATTATAAACTATTCTACGTCATTAATTTATTTTAGCATATGTATATACAAGGCCACCAGCAATCTTTTTAGATTGGATGGGCTGATGGGAAATCCAGGAAAATAAAAAAGTAAAAAGGATCCTTCGGTTATTAATATCTTCTTGTTGCAACTTTCAAAACCGTACCATCTCTCCAGATCTCTCTCTCTCTCTCTCTCTCACACACACACACACACACAAAAGAAGATGGAGCTTCAACATTTCAACCATTACCATCCACTGAATTTTGAGGATGTGCAAAAGAACGAAGGTACGGATGTTATGTGCTATGGGTGTAAAAAACCAATCTTAGACCATGCGTATTGTTGTAAAGAGTGTGATTACTTCCTACATAAGAGTTGTGCAGAACTTAACCGGGAAATTGAACACCCCACACACCTCGAACACCGTTTATTGATGAATTTTGGGGATGCAGGAAAAAGTTCAACAATATGTGATGTTTGTAAGCAAAGTTGGGATCGGTTCACCTATTATTGTTACAAGTGTGACTTTGATATCTGCATGCCGTGTTTCTTGGAGGAGCGCGTGATTAAACTTGCAATTCACCAGCACCCATTAGGCGTCCTACTTAGGCCATCCTTGTTCACTTGTGATATTTGTTACGTGGAAGATAAAGACTCATCTTATCTATGTCACAACTGTCAATTTTGGATACATAAAAGTTGCGCCTCACTACCTTACACCATCAAGGTTAATGATCACCATCATCCTCTCAGCTTAACCAAGCAATATCTATATAATATTACCAATTTTAAACAGTATTGCAACAAATGTGACAAGTTCCTTTGGGTAGCTTCTTCAGTTTACTGTTGTGGCCCCTGTAGATATTTTGTCCATGTAAAGTGCGCAACATCAGAGGCAGGGTCGTCAAGGTGAGTTTAATCATTTTGTCTTGTTTGTGTTCTCTCCCCTCCCTTCTCTCTGCCTCTCCATCCCCCTTAACAAAATCCTTCCAATGCTTTTAATTCTTGTCAACTAATACTTTTGCTTCTAATTTTGTGATTTCAGAGGTGCTGAAATAAGTAGCAGTAATAAAGATGACGAACTTCTTGAGTTTAATCCGGTCAATTTACCAGTGAATGATGAATTCGTAGATCTGACTAGATATTTTGTTAAAGATATCAACATTAACGAGTTTGAGAAAGAAACAGAGATTAGTAATGGGAGCCATGAGCATCCGTTACTTCTTTTCGATGTGCAAAATATCAATGAGGTGAAGGATGATAAAATCTTATGTAATGCTTGTGTGCAACCTATCTCCCTTCCATTTTACGGCTGTCGTCAATGCAATTACTTTGTGCACTTAGGTTGTGCCCACTTACCACAGGAGGTTCAACACCCAAGTCACCCTGAACACTTGCTTGAGCTTGGGAGATCCAGTAACATCTATTCGGGCAACATGTGTCACTGTTGCAACATGAATAGCAATGGATTATTCTACTGGTGTCAAACTTGTGAATTCTATGTTGATATCAAATGTGCTTTTCTACCTAGCACTATCAAACATGAATCTCACAAGCACCCCCTAGTTCAAACTGAAGGTTCACATCATGTTTGCAAGTCATGTAATCACGAGTCCTCAAGGTTCATATTCAGATGTGATACTTGCAACTTCAATCTGGACTACGATTGTGCTCTGTTCCCAAAAACTATCAAGCACAGGTGGGATCGGCATCCCTTTATCTTGACCTATCATCCTCCCAATGATCATCTTGACGAATTTTATTGTGAATTTTGTGAGGAAGAAATAAACCCAAGGTATTGGATGTACTATTGTCATCATTGCGACCAATCTTTTCATGTTAGATGCATTTATGACAAATTCTCAAAAATCAAGTTTGGAGGCACCCTACAAATTGATGATCACCCACACCCTCTGATGTTTGTCCGAAAGATGAAAGAGTTCACGTGTTGCAGCTGTGGTAAACCTTCTAATTATGCATCCTTATTGGAATGTCGTGAATGTAATTATACCATATGCTTAGATTGTGTTGATTGATACAATTCATTAAATTCTACTTTTTTGTTGTTGCACATCCTAGACTATAATTAGTTGGAGCATTTCTGTAATTGTATAGATTCATATGGAGTTACTGCTTGACATGAAAGAATAGAATGAACTGTCCCCAATTAGTATAATTGATTGTTAATTCCTCTTCAGTATGAAAGCGAATATAGAGAAGCTTTTGAAGTTCATCTTGAATTCACTACAGAACAAACTACAAATCACAACCAGCCTTGATCCAGCTCAAAACCCCTAATTAATGTTCCAATTCATCAGCCAACATGTCTATAATTTGACCGCTGAAAAACTAAGGACGAAAATGGGACCAATATCAAAACTTTTTGCATGAAAATTTGATATATGTATTTATACCACATACCCCATGGATCAGATTGTATCATATACATACTATTACTTAACTTGGTAAATTCGGACCAATATGAACTCTTGATACAAGACCAGATCACATAACTCAACTAGATACAATATTTCAATCAAATTTTACTCCTAATATCGGAATCAGACTTGACTTAGAAGTCTTGGTTTGAAGAACATTAAACCCAAAATCTTCTCAAGTATTATTTCGCACTACTCTTTACAAACTCAACGAATGTCATCGGCAATCTAGAGCAATCTGGATTCGAACAAGCTACCTAACTTGAAAGACATCTGGATTCGATCTTCATCAATGCTAGTTGCTCTCTTTTGCTCTTTTACTTGAGTAAACTACTAGGGAAGACTTTAAAAAGTGTTTTTTTTTATAAAAATTATGACTCATCATAAGCACTTCAAATAATTTTTTTTTTTTTTTAAATATTAGGTCGACTAATGCAAGGTAATTTTGATTACGCCTTATTTGTATATTCACCACCACCACTATCATTTTCGCCATCCCATTACCATTGCTTTCATTGCTAATACCTGCACCACCCCTGCCTCCATAATAACCCTTAATTACTATAATTGTTACTGCTACCACCACCAACAACACTCATACTGTTGCTGCAGCCATGGTCGCCATCTCCTCCCACCACCCCTACATTGACAATTGCTGGTTCAACCCTCAGTGTCCCAACCATGCACCCTCTAGCAATCACCATTGTCACCACCACAATGTCCCCACCATTCCCACACCAACGCAACCACCACCATTACCTCCACCTCCATGATTGTCATCGCGACTGTCCCCACCACCACTAACATGTAGGTGTTACCAAGTCAAGATGTATATATTATTAAGTAAAAATTGAAATCAAGTATAATATGACAATCTTTTTTGACAATAGTTCCAGACGCAATTTTATTGGGTCATTAAGGACACGTGATGTACTTTATTTGGTAAGTAGATCCATATGACTCTTTCCCTTTTTTTAATTTCCTTTTTTGATCTAAACTGAAAAACATATTTTGCTGCTATAATTATCTGAGTGTCCAATTGAAAATATGTCTTTTTTCTCTCCTCCCTCTTTCGTCCTATTATCTCTCACATATCTCCTCTTTATACACACACGTACAATTAGAGTAATAGTAATAATCACACAATTACAGTCTCAATGACAGAGTGATTGTGACACAACTACAATAACACAGTGACAACCTTAATATCACACTAACGTTAACACATCGACACATTCACATTGGCAAAACGATAGCCACAATAACACTACTATATATAACAACATTTTACTACAATAAATGTGATATTCACAGTGACAATCACAATGATGACCATAGTAACACATCCAGAGTGACACAACGACAAATAAAATGACATAACTATTGTGTATAATAATTTTTACTATGATATAACAACTATTGGATATACATAGTCAGGGGCGAAGCCAGAACTTTTGTCTAGGGTTGGTATTTTACTAAAATTTTTTTTTTCTTCTAATCAATAAAAATAAAATAATAAATTCAAATTTACTATATTGTATTCGATATTTAAAAATTCATAAAATATGAAAAGTGTGAAACTCTGATAAATATAGCATATATAAATAAAAATAACCAAAAAATAGAGACTAATCATACCCTTCATAACAAATGAAACAAACTGCATAAAAGATACTATAATATTTCTCCATATATATGATCAAACTATTAGTCATTGATCACTCACTTAATTAAGTAACCTTGTTGCCATAATCTCTATAGCTTTTTTTTTTTAATTGAAATCTCTATAATTTAAAAAAAATGAGTTCGACATGTCAAAAACTTACATTGATGTATCCCTAAAGTGTCCAAAATGCATCAAAAATTTAGGTACGGGGGGACTATACTAATTGATAGAACAAAAATTATAGAATAAGCACACTTAAATATAGTTCAAATTATTTGAAATATACATAAGTAATACTTTAAAAAAAAAATTGAGGGTGGGCACGTGTGCCCCTGGTCCTCAAGTAGCTCCGCCCTTGCACGTAGTAACGTTTTATATATAGCAACCTTCTACTACAATATATTTTAAAACCATATATATACACACAATAATGTTATATATGAGAGAGAGAGATATGTTTGTGAGAAAGAAATTTATGTGGAGAGAGAGAGAGAGAGAGAGAGAGAGAAAGAGAGAACGTACGTGAGGGAGATAGAGAGAGATTTACGTCAAATTTTTTAGACTCTATGAGAAGGAGATTCTAAACAAGAGAGAGATCTGTGTGAGATTGTTTAGGATATAGATGAAAATTTTTAGAATCTGTATTTATTTTAGGGTGCTTATTGTCTTTTCTCACCCATTTGTCCTTAATGACCCAAAAAGTATGTGCACGGACTAATTGATTCAAAGATTATAACTATGGATCGACCTTCAAAAATTCCTAATTATTAAATATTGAATACAACAAAAAGTTCAATGTGGCCCATTAAGGTCTGACTATTGGGCATCCTGATAAAGGCCATGAAGCCTAGCGCAACGCAAAAGACAAGATATGAGCTATCGTGTGCTATATGCCATCTTTTTGAATCGTCAACAATCCAACGACCTAGACTTAAGTTGGCTAGAGTTTTTAATTCAAATTCGATTAGAATGAACATCTTACTGGTTGGATATAAATTGATATTTATATTTCAATATACTTGAAAGAAATATATAATAAAATTAAATAATTATTTAATATATTTTAGTAGAAATTAAACTTTAATTTACGAACATTATCCTTTTGTGAGTTATATGGATCGGATTCCCAGATTAAATTTTTAAAGAAAGAGTTTTGAAATGAAATTGGGATTTGAATCAACCGAAATTCAATTTAAATCCGATCCATTAACAAATTTATCTAAATTGTGCCAACGCACTTACGTAAAACTCGGCCCTCGAGTGACCATTTACAAATTTGGAAGAATTTGGGTATTATTTCATACATGGAGCTTTTGTTGAGAACGAATCACCAATGCGTTGCCCTTTTAGACCCATTCAAAGCTGTTATATGAGCAAATATATTTTGTTCGGTGCTCCATTTTTTATTTTTATTTTATTTTTGATAAAGGACCTAATGCTCTGATTCATGGTCATTAATTATTATGGATGAGAAAAAGGCAAGGCCGTTGGGAAGACCAATGAGGAGGTCCAGAAAAAGAGAGCACAAAAGCAGTGCAAGATTATCATTGAAAGGTGGGTCGATTGTGGGGTTTTGCATTCCGTCTCGGGTGGCGCCAAATCAGCCTTTCGAAACGTTATTTTTATCCATTTTTTTATTCAATAATATTATTTGATTTTTTGTTATTAACTTAATTTATTATAGTTATGGTATGATAATGGGTTCCAATCAATAATAGACCTCAATGTCCATCCAACGACAATGCTTAATTAAATTAATAGATTAATACAATAAATTAAATACAAGTTACATCGTTCTTTATCTGTTGTAAGATAAATATTAGATTGGTCTCGTATACTAATTAAATATTCTTAAATTCCTTTATTTGTTAGGTGTGAGGCTTCCATATCATTTATACAATCAAATTTGGTTTAAATTTATTCAAACTAACAAAAATCCTTCTATAAAGGACATATATATACATAAAATAATATTAATTATTTTTAATTTTTTGTGGAGGGGAGGGGGACTTGAACCGTTGTTTTTTGGAGGGAATGAAAACTTAAACCATTGACCTCAAAAAGACAAAGTCATCATAAAAAAATGAGTATCATTGGATTAAAAGTCCATTGATATTTTCTATTGATCACTACTAGTTTTTCAATCTTTTCATTAATATCACACTTTGCACTTTTCTATACAAATATTCTTTTACATTGAAAAAAGTAATGTTATTTGGATCTAAAAATTTGATCTAATTTGCTGACATAATAATGTGGTTTTATAGAAATCATTGAATTAACACCAAGTTCTACTATTTGATGGGATCTACACTCAATCCAAATGTTACAATGAATTAGGTCAACAAATTATGTCAATAAATTATGTAACATTGCTCAATTGAAAAACGTGAGCTTGTGCTACACTTTGGTGAAAACGATGGTTGCTTCAAAAATAAGTTAAAAGGATAATACATTGATACAAAATTACAAAAATATTGAAGAATTGAGATTGATTCTTCTATTAATATGCTATATGAGGGGTAGAACGAGATTATATCTAATGTTTGACATTATGTACATTAATTGACTACCCTCAAATTCGAACCCACATTCTCAAAATTAATGGACCTAGTCTCAACAATTTTTAGAATCACTCCCCAAATTACTCTTTTTATCTTTAGCTATTTATCTTACAATTTTCTCTCCTCTCTTTTTCAATATTTTTCTCCTTCCTCGCCTCTTCTATTTAACAGTAATGGTTGCAAATTAAAGAGTGGAAGAATGGGAGGGGAGAGGAGAGAGAGGGGCGGGA